GCTCACGCCATTGCGGAGGTCCTCCACTAATACGGCACTGTGACCACCTTCGGAAGAAGGTTGAGTCGAGAACTAACTACGTATGTTTGCTCTGTGACATACACTCCGTTTAAACCAAAATAATGTCGTTTCGTTTAGCCATTAAATTATCTATATCTCTTGGTGCGAGACCAACAGCCAACGTATAACACGAATTTTCCCTTGCGTAGTCCTATTGTCGCCATTTGTACAAAATCGGTATTTAAATGTTCACAATAACTCGAAGTGAAATGAGAATTTTGTACGATTGTATAGAAGTGTAGGATGGGCGTACTCATTAGTACAGTGCGTACCATCCGTTACAAATATGTAGTCCACAATTCTTTTATCTTTTTGAGATCTGAACGCACATCCACTGCTCATGATACTTTTTCCCCTGACCCCTCTTTGCGTCAGAGGACAACTTCATTATACTACATCAAAAGATTCGGCAAGACTCCAACAGAAGTCTGACACTTCATATTACATAAAATAACTTGGCAAGACTCCGAGAAGAGCGCGAGGCTTGCTACAAACGCCCTTAAAGCTGAAGTCGGCAATATAGCCAAGGTGTTCTCTGATAGGAGCGGTCGCAGCTACTCTGTAAGTTCTGACTCAAACCTTCACCCTCATGACCGAGCTGTTTACTAAGGACAAGGCGTTGGCGCTATGACTCTCCTCTGCATGAATTACGCACTCCGTCTCCGTTCGCCATGGCAAAAAGTGTCGGGACATTCCGCTGCACTATTCAGAATGATATCCAGCTCATCGAGAATGAGCTAGACCTGGCTCAAAAATCTCAACTTGCCCGACTGCAAGCGCAAAAAGTCGCAATGCCTCCTGCAGATCTCGTCACGCAGTGGCTGTAAATATAGACCACCCTTAGATAATTGATTTCAGTGAAAAGCAGGCTCAAAAGCTATCTGAAGAAACGGGAAGAACTCTAAATTCATTTTTGCGCGTCCCTTACCTCGACACTCTCTTGGACACAGCAATGCAAAATAAGCCATAGAGGTGCCAGGAGCACTATACGTATGTTGTCCGACTTTAGCTCCTTCATCCACTCCAATGCTGATATATCACTGCACCGAATGAATTTTAGTATTAATGGTTGACCTTGGTTATACACAGCACAACTGACACTTTCACACGCTGTGCCCATCGATAACAGCTTTGAGCTCATCTCTCACCGCTGTTAGCGGAATATCCGTTGCTATCATGAACAATTGGTATTACACATCGACCAAGTCGAGTGCAATGTTTTTGTAGAGCTAGCCATATTGTTCTAGAAAATATCCTTTTTAGGTATCGGCGTGCCGGAATGGTGGCAACGTTTAGTTTATTTTTTAGCGTAAACGATACGCCACTTGCCGTTCGGCTTCCGGGCACATACCGTGGGAAGACTTGCTCTCACGCACAATTCCTGCATCGTGATTCGCACGGAGAAAGGCGTCAATAACGTCACACTGCTCCGTGGGCAGGGGCCATTGGCGCTTTACGCGGTATTTGGTTCCCGGAACCAGGTCAATCTACCTCGGTCCGGAGACGACGTCTTGAAATTCCTTTACCAAACGAGAGTACGGATCCGAGGGATCCTTCAGGATCGACCATCTACTTAGTGTCCAGTACAGCTTCATCCAGAAACGACGACGAGTTAATTTCCTCGTTCGGTCGTATAATGATCACCTCGGTTATATTGCCAGTCTTGAGGGCACCGCTAAACTCTTTGAAGGACATCCCGTCCAGCTCAAGAAGAGCGCCCGCAGCGGGAATAGCCTCGAGGGTGACGTCGCCGTCTTCCTCTTCCGTCATATCGCTGATAAGGGTGTATAGCTGTGAGCTATCGTCTACGGTAGACACACCCTGGGTCAGGGTGAACGCCCTGCGTCTTGCAGATAGCATACGGCATCGCCGTCTCCTCTCTATGGAGGTTTTACGTCTCATCGAGAGCAGTGGGAACACGTACTCGGCGTCGTCCAGTGTCCCCACTCCCTGCTCCATCAAACCCTTGATGGTATTAACAATATTCGACGAAGAGCTGCTATTTTCACAGTCTTCGTCCAGCGGATAACGTGCCACTCCACGCGCATCAGAAGGGCCTTGCCCAAGACGCCTCGGATCTCGACTGACCATGCCTCTCTTGGCATACAGCAACTGCTTTGAAACGTGAGCAGTGCTCAGTAATTTACGTGCCACAAAGTCGACACGACTTGGTTGGAATGCACACCCTCTGAGCTCCTGAGCCAGTGGATCTCAGCTATGTTGAGAAGGAGGAAGAGGGAGAGCTTTGAGCTGCCAAGCAGCGTTTGAACACCGGATGGTGTTTTGTCTGTGGAGGTACCCGACACCTCCTGACTGGTTGTCCCCTGCGCAAGGCGCGTAAAGGCTAATCAAACCGACGTCCCGCTTCTAACCAGTCTAATTTGTCATGGGGAAACGACAAAAACCAGTAGGCGCGGGGCGCCCTTCTGGGAAAGAACTGAGTTCTGTTGAGCCTCAACGAGATAGAGGGCAGCAGGGCCAGCCCCGAAGAGCTCCGTGCTCTTGAACATGGAGCGGTTATGCAATCCGGGTTTGCTGGTCGTAAAAGCGAACGTAAAGGGTTTCGATTAGCCACGGAAGATCCTTATGGATCCTGGACGTCGGGTAATTATGCTCGACGCTCCACGAGGGAAGGAAGTCAGCTGTATACTGAGGCGCTGAAAGCGCGGTTAGGTGACACCGTCACTGTTTGCTTAGCGACGGGGGCTTGTGTCACTGTATCGAGATTTACTGTGGACCTCGGTGTCAAGTTTCTTGACTTCGATAGCCTGGAATGCTGCTTAGTCTTCGACTCGGATTCAGGGTATGACCTTTTCCTTCGTATGTCATGGTTGGAACACCATGAGCCATGGATCAATTGGACGTCCTTGGCGCTACACGCACGCTTTCTAGTGGAGCGTTGGCGAGTCATGAACCAACCTCTGTTAGGAAGCAGAAGAGCTATTGGCGCGGGCACTGTACCGGGACTGTCAATGTGCTGGGTATTGGAGTATCCGAGTTGTCAAACACCAAAGTTGTAATGGACAAGAGTCCCAAGCCTGCCTCGCGGGCTGACGTGGAGTCGCACGTAACCCACTGAGCACTGCTCTCGCTACGAAGCAATTGCTGCATGACAAGAGTGGCATGGTCGGCCAAGAACCGAGGCTTCGAGGGCAAGGTCCCAGTGATGCACGTGGAAAGTTGAACCTGGTATTCAATGCTACATTCGCCGCTTCTTCAAGAGAAGATGGATGCACATGGAAGACTTCCACGCCCTGCAGAGGTCCTCCATAAAAACGGTCACTATGACCGCCTAGGGGAGAGGATTGGCTGCCATACCGGCGATGAGAGTTCGCAAATCTTGGAGAAAGTCCACCAATTCCTTCTTGCCCTGTCGGGCGGTAAGGCAACGTGATCACAGGCGATATGCTTGGTTAGGCGGCGAGAAAACTCGCAAAAGATACAGCTTCAGCTACTTCCAAGAGGCGAACGTCACTTCAACCAAAGAACTGCACGTTAGTGCACATTCTCGCTCTCGGTCCCCGAGCTTGGAAATAGCTAGAGCTAGCCACGCACTGTTGCTCGTTTTGAATCTTGGCGGATGCGATAGTCATGTCGGCCTCTCTCACCCAGAGCATAGAATTTTCACGGCCCATACTCTCGAAGGTCTTAACGCTCACCATGAGCGGCCTGAGTCGGGATGATTTATCCGTCGTCGACGGTGACGTCATGGACGCTGTCGGTGCCGACATATTTTGCTCTAGGTGCTCTAGAACAGCAATATAATAGTTCGAAAAAAGGATATAGGAAGGGTAGAGGTAGAAGTGATGTGCGCTTGTGTGCGCAAATGCAGAAATGAGTATATTAATGCTAGGCGCGCTAGCACGCAATTGTGTGGGTCCACGCGCAAATGCCTTGTGGGCCACACAATATACTAAACCTAAGTTTAAAGCTTCCAACACATCCTTAGGTATTTGGAGCACTCTATCTCAGTCTTTGCGCAAGCCTAACAAGTCCACTCTTTAATACGCAGACATATGCAGTCTTAACCATAAAGGCTGATCGCGCACCAAGCATCTTTAGTGGTAAGTAAACTCACAACTTTGCGGTCTAGTATAATGATGCTAAACCACTTAAGCTAGTCACCATAACTTAAAAGTTTGTGCAAGCATTGAATTAGCAGCACAACTAACACGAAAACGCCTCTAAGCGCGCGCTTATCGCTACGGTCCCTGCGAATCAAGGTGTTGCACGCCCCTAGGGCCAAGCAGGAACATCAGCTCATTAAGCCCGTCCTGTATGCCCTGGGACAAATAGGAGAATTGCTCCATCCTCATAGAGGATCAACCATAACAACTCAGGCGTAGATTGACTACAAAAGCTATCAAGTGCAGCAGGACTACCGAAGTTCTTTGCTTAAAGGAAGCTTACTAAGGTCACTGATTCTGCGTTCTATACTAGAACCACTTCGAGTGTAGCGGATCGCAATCCGCTACCTTCAAGAATTCCCAAGACCTTTACCAAAGCAAATAAACTTTACCGTTCATAATGTAAATTTCTATTTCTTTTGTTGATTGACGGCGAAGTCGCCTATATTTAAATCCATATGATTTCCTAATTAAATAGTCAAACCTAATAATAAAGTGCATAACAACAGGCAGTCCAGCCACATAGTGGCTTCTTGCTAACGAGTAGCCACGCCATTGTGTGTTCACACCATCTTGTGTGACCCACCCCTTCATACCAGGATACGTGGAATCGCGTTACATTGATGGAGGTTCAAAGCTCATGATCTGTCAAGGAATTCAAATGGCATACATCAGATGACACAGAAAGACTTACCGGCACTTCCGTATCGACCACAAAAATGCGAGAATTCGTCATGTATGCTGAAGTAACTAGGTTAAAGTAGATAACGAGTAAAAAGCATTTAGATGTTATGGCAAGCATAATGAGCTTATCAGTGCGTCATCTATAATGACAAATTACTGCTTAATGCATTGCATGAGTCTAGCAGTACACATCGCCTTTCGTATTAGACTACTGTCACTCTGATATCGTACTTCATACCAGATAATTGGAGTTCACCAAAGTGCTCAATTACGGTAAATTTACTTTGTTTCTTGCACGGTATGTACTCACACCACAACCTCGCTACATTACACTACGCACAATTGTTTTGTTGAGTGATGATGTTGCAGCTGTAAGCTTATCATGTACTCATAAACTTTATATTTGTCTATTTACTTGTCTAATCTTATATTAGCTTAGTGATGCTTATTCCACTCATCACAAGATCGATGGCCGAAGCAAACAATTCAAATCGGTACATGCTGTTAAGACTTATCGTCCCATTTAAAATCTGCGCTCGCTTAGCATGTGAGAGGTACAGGGATCGATACCATGCTTATCCAGGTGTGTGATGTCTGGTAGAGACAGGGTAATAAGATAATCGTGCAAATAATGCATTTCTATGAAATTTGAAAGGGAGGCGGTACTGCGAGTGGAACTGCAAATGAGTGTTAAGTATGCTCCTGTAATCAATGCTTGCACTAACTCATGAGTTATGGTGACTGGCTCAAGTGGATTAGCATCGTGATGCGAAACGACAAGTTGTGAGTCCAATTCCCACTAAGGACGGTTCACGCAATGGCTGAGTTAGAGTGTTCCACATACCTTAGAATGGGTTGGTAGATTTAGTACATTGTGTGGCCCGCAAGGCAGTTGCACGTGGGCCCACACAATTGCGTCTAACATTAATACAGTCACTTCTGCATTTGCACACACAAGCACACATCCCTTCTACCTCTGCCCTTCTTATATCCTAAAGGGTTAAGTTTAGCTGCTCTGTAATACACGTCTGGTCTCATATGCTAGCGCTCTGCGGGCCTCACAATATATTAACATTAAGTAAAAGTTGCTAGGATGCTAACAACCAATTCGAAGTAATGTGTATCACGTTTACTTAGTTGTTGAGAATCCGAATGCAACCACAAGCATGAAGGTGTTTGGGCTGCGCTTCTTATTGAGGATCTTAGACCCCCATTCATTCACTTGGCCTTAAGGTAATTGCTTAACGGCTATAGCACTAATATATAACCTTTGATGCACACGATGACCAATGAATTTGACCGCGTAATTACTACATGTGATGACGAAAACTTAAAAATTTCAGCAGAAAGTGGTAGTCATTTTTATCATCGCAATTTTCACCACGAGCCTTTTTTACACTTCGCCATCCTAGGCATGTTTTCTAGATCGCCGCTCGCTTTTGATCACCTCAATTTGTATCATCGGCTTGTAAAGACATCGATCTGTCAACATGACCACCAAGATGCCGTTGACGTTGCCTAGCTGTTGAATATTATCACATAACATCACACACAGATCTGCTTAAGATCTATTAAATGTTCTATGTGTGCAAATCCAGGCGACATATTTCGCAATCATTATTTCGCAATCATTAATAGACAGATCGCATAGTAATAAGCAGCTTTTGCGGAATGAA